CGCCCGACGCTCCCTCCCCCTTTCAAACGGCGACGAAGCCTCTCGCCTTCCCCGATTGAGATCAGCTTGCGCGACACAAAAGACGGAGCGAAGCGGGCGCGCCGCGTGCCGCGAAGCGACGCGAAGGAGCCGAAGACCGCGTGCCGTCGTTCCGCAGACCCGCGCGAGCTGGCGTACTTTCCGAGGGGCGGTTTGCGCCGCCGTGAGCGTGGACACGAACGCCGTCGTTCGCCGCCAATCAAAGCGGCTCCTCTCACGGCCTTTAAATGTTGCGCGCTCGCACGCTGACATCTCTGTGCGGAAAAAGGCGCGCCCACTCATTCTGTCGACATGCAGTCAACAACCCCAATGTTGGCCGCTATCCTGTTTGTTTGATTTTTTTTAAAGGCCATGTAAACACGCGCAGACGACTTCAACCTAGCCGCACACCTCATCTATTGCCATCCTCCATCGTTCGGAACTTTCTGCCAGCCGAGCGTCATCCCGCCGTCGAGGGCGCAACCGCGCCGGAGCGCCCAGCGTGGCTCAAAGCGCTCTGCCAAAGTGACAAACGGGCGCAGCGAGCATCGCACCAGCACCAAAATCAGGGTACGCCCGGTGCTCTCCATTCAACAACAACAAACCCAAAAGTCTCTGTCATCAATTAGCTGCGCAAATGTTTTGCTATCCGGCGGGTATTCGTCGGAGCTCTTGAGACAATTGTGCCAGTCGCCGATGAGCGCCGCAGCAAAAAAGCCGCTGAATTTTCAACACGGCTGCGGAGACTTTTCAGATGGGCTGCAGCTTCCCTTCTTCTCCTTGCTCAATATTTGGAGGGACTGCGTTGACTGTGATCACAGAAATGATTTTTTTCTTCATCGCGTCAAACATTTCGGCGCCGCGCGTCTGCACTCGTGCTTGCGCGTACTACTCGGGACGCGTCAAACGTTAACTCGTAGAGTGTTCAAATTTCCCTCGCAGTACGAGCCAAAAGCAGTTGGCAACTCGTGCGCAGTTGTGCCTCACGAGTGGGCCCAAGTTGTCCAAATAAGCGGGCAGAAATGTCGCACAGCAGCAGCGGCCAAACTCAGGAACGACCTCCGCTCGGTGTCGGGCGTGCCTTCGGGCTCCGAACGGTTCCCAATCAACAAGCAACAACTGGGTTTTGGGGTACCCGGGATACGGCGGCTTTAGGAGCCGCTTTGGGACCCGCTTGGAGCTTGCGCAACAGCAGCAGTGAGTGGCGAGGGGGGGGCCCAAAAACATTCCTCGTGCTACGCTAGCCAGACCTACTGGCGCCTGACTCGTTGCAACGCGCCCCGGGGCAGTGAGCGCACGTTCTCTTCCTCGTAAGGTCAAAGGGCAAACCAGTACACGCACTTTCCACTGGCTGTCCGGGAAGGACGGCTCAAAGCGCCCCCCCCCGGCGCACCTTTTAAACCGCCGGCTCCAAAAACAACAAGAAAAAGAATTGGTGAGAAAACAGACGGACCGATGACTTTGCTTTGTTTTGTCACAAGCCAATCTGATGCGATCTTTTGGGTTGCTTCCCCAAAATGGGCTCAAATGGAGCATCTGGCGGTTACGGACAATCGGTGCCACGCTGACGCCGAACCTTTTTTTGGGGGGGGGGGGTCCCATGCAGAGGCGATTGCTCTAAGACTGCAAGGGAAGCTCAGCTTCCCCTAAAAAGTCCAAAAATAAGTCATCAAATCGAGGTGTGTGTACATACAATTGTGTGTACATGTCATTGACTAAATATGCGCTAAAACGCGCTCAACTTTTGTTCCGAATCAGCTTCTTATTGCTGGTTACGACGCGACTCTCTTCTCCTTCATTCCCGCAGCTTCACTGTGCTTTAAACTGTGTGGATGCTGAGCGTCTGCAGCGCGGGCACTGGGCGTCTAGAGAGTTCAGTGTAGGTTGTCCCAATGCATTATTCTCTTCCTCGTGAGGCCAAAGGGCAAACCAGTACACGGACTTTCCACTGGCTGTCCGGGAAGGACGGCTCAAAGAACTCGGGGCCCCGAGACGCCAGGAGTCGCCTTCCCGCGGCCCGAGCCCAGACCTTTGGAAGCGCTGGCGTCTGCCCGCCCTGCTACGCCTCGCAATGAGGCAGATGGGCTGCAAGGACACGTATGTGCACGGAGGGGGCGGGGGGGGACAGAAATGGAAAGATCCATCTGCGCCCCCCTCAGCATTTGCAAGCGGCGTCTCGGTCTTCGGGTGGATCTGCCACTGCGCGATGCTTTTCAGCACATCTGCCCACATTTGGGCCAAAGATGCGCACCGCCACTTCCGTGTGTTTTGACTCGGAAAAGCGGACAAAGCAAACGGCAGAAAACCAGCAATGCCTTTCTAGGATGACAGCAGAGAGAGTCGCGAGTGACACGCCGTGCCGGTCCCTTGCTTGTGACTCATTCACACCACATTCCTTTGTCGTCGTCTCCATCTTATTGGCCGGCCTTCTTTGTTGCTACGCCGACAGCACGTCGCTGCCGCTCTTCCGCTTTCAAACGACGACAAATCCTCTCGCCTTCCCCG